GTGTGTGTGTGTGTATGCGTGCATTAATATATATTGCATGAAAGGAAGTTTAACGTTTTAGTAATTATCTGTTTTTGGCATACCCTACCGTATAAAACTAGAGATTGAACTGAAAATTTAATTGCATAATAATGCCCATCCCCTTTTCCATCCACGAACGTCCAATGAAAGATTTTCATAACTTCAACATGCATAACAACCTTGGCCAAGACTATTTATATCAATATTTATATCAGATGCTTGGCTTATTTTGAGATCAGAAAAAATACATTTTCATTTTAAAATATATCATCGAAAATTATAATCTTCAATTCTAAGATTCTAACTTTTTTTTTTTAAGATTAAGAATTCTGGGATTCACATAGCTTTTATGGTTACGAATTCTAAAATTCAAATATTAAAATTCGTTGATAAATAATTCTACAATTAAAACATTTTCATGATTAAGAATTCTAAAATTCAAACATTTTTGTGATTATAAAGAATTCAAGAAATTTTAGATGATTAAGAATTCAATCATTTTTAGATGATTCAGAATTCAAACGCTTTTATACGATTAAAAATTCTAAAACCCCGACATTTTCAAGATTATGAATTCTAATTCAAATAACTCACTTAAGCTAAACATTTCTAAAACTCCGAAGTTTTTCATGAATATTAATTCTAACATTCAACAAATGATAACTCACCTGAGCTGCAGTATGCTGGCGATCTCACTTGAGCTAAACATTTCTAAAACTCCAAAGATTTTCATGAATATTAATTCTAACATTCAACAAATGATAACTCACCTGAGCTGCAGTATGCTGGCGATCTCACTTGAGCTAAACATTTCTAAAACTCCAAAGATTTTCATGAATATTAATTCTAACATTCAACAAATGATAACTCACCTGAGCTGCAGTATGCTGGCGATCTCACTTGAGCTAAACATTTCTAAAACTCCAAAGATTTTCATGAATATTAATTCTAACATTCAACAAATGATAACTCACCTGAGCTGCAGTATGCTGGCGATCTCTTCCCTCTGCGGTGACAGTTTGCGGATAAAGTTGTAGTCTCCCACATAGAGGCTCCCGTCCAGGCCTGAGGCCAGAGCTACAGGACTGAGCAGACCGTTGTCCAGGGCCTTCCCATTACACGACTCACAGTTGAGCTTTCGCCGCTGACCGCTGCCCAGAATGTTGAGGATCTTCTTGGGTTTTTCCTTCAGGTAGATATTGGTGCCGTCACCTTTGTGCAGTATACCTACACAGCGTGGGAAAAGGAGACGTTTGTGGGCTATTTTTAGTAAATGCTGCATTTGCAACACAATTGGGTCAAATAGGAGCCAGTGATTAGAGGTGTTATTATGGAGTAACATCGAAAGAATAGAAGGAAGAGAGAGAGAGAGAGAGAGAGAGAGAGAGAGAGAGAGAGAGAGAGAGAGGGGAGGAGAGAGAGGGAGGGAGAGAGCGAAAAAAGAGTGAAAAAAAGAGTGAGATATAGAGTGAAAGACAGTGAGAGATAGGGAGATATGGAGGGAGAAAGAAAGAAAGAGAGACAGAGAGAGTAAGAGAAGAGAAAAAGAAGAAGAAAAAAGATAGAGAAGGGAGGAAGCGATAAACGTTCCACCACAACCCCTTCCGTGCTTCAATCTCTGTTTCCACTCCCTTATTCCGCGTTACGTTGACAGACAACAGCCCCTAATGAGACTTGACCCACCGGCAAACGTCCAAGAATAATGCCAGAACCGCTGATCGGGGTCAATACGTCATCCTGCAAACGTTTTTGAGTAAATATTCCCCCGCTAATAATTCCAGGACACGAAAACACACGATTCGCCTACGGGTCCTCCTGTTTGTGTGATTCTGTTTTTAGCAAAGAACCGTGTACCTCTCGACGCAGTAGTAAGTCATCTTTGTACGATGTGTTACTTTGTCTCAGAACTGTTACCGTTCTTCATCTCTGACAGCTTCTGTA